ATTGTATGAATATAATTATTATTTATGTAATTTTAAATTGAATTAGCTTTAAAATAATTTATTTTAATGAAAATAATAATAATAATAATAAAAAGGGATAAAAATTATTTAGGGGTTTAATTGAAAACAATTTTGGAGAAAATGGGTGAAAGTTTAAGTTTTACGAGTATTTTTGAAAGAAAAATCGAAAACTGGGAGTCAAAACGCAATTTAAAAAAGTTGTACCACTTCAGCTGCCCGGTCAGCAGCCCCGACCAACTAGGACGCGCCAAATGGCAGAGACGCTGACGCGGGAGGCCATGCAGGAGGGAGCCACGTGGGCGATCCGCGTGCGCACGCGCGATCGAACGGCTGAGATCCGTTCCTGCGCGCACGGACGGCCCAGATAAAAAATGCGCATGAATGGCCCAGATTGCATCGCGCACGGACAGTTCAGATTGAATCGTGCACGTCGCGATTCAAACGGCTCAGATTCATTTCCTATTTAATCACGATAAGACGGTTCAGATTAAAGGCGATGGACGGCTCAGATCAAAAGTGGATGGGTATAAATAACCCCATCCGCACCCAAACCCTAACCCTAGCAGCTAGAGTCCCTCGCCGAAGAAGACAGCCCAGCCACTGGAGAGCCGACTGCCGCCACCCACTGCTGTACCGAAGCAATTTCTGGCCGCCAAACGAGGTAAAAATTCTACCATTTGCTCGAAATTTGATTCTAAACCCACCTATGGCTAAATCGGAGCGAAAGTACCAGCCAATTAGCCGAAAAACGTCTCCGAAGCTCAGCGGCGCCGCCCTAAGGTGTTTCAGTTTTTGCCTCCGATGAGGCCCTTTTTGATTCCTGTTCGATGTGATTTTTCCACTGTTGTAATCACCGTTTCCTCATCTACAGGTTGACCAGAGCAAAACACCCAACCACAACGTGAGCTGGAGGAGCCGCCGCACCGGAGAGCCCCACCGCCGGTGAGTTTCGGCTTTCTATATTTTTTCAGCTCACCGAT